TAATTAAACACGTAATTAAATATTAATTTCTACTAATCCTTCAACTACTCTCCTAAACATTGGCATAAATCTATCAAATCTTTCAATGACACGCACGTTTAATTATATATTAATTTCTACTAATGCTTCAACATTTTAAATCCACAACTTTTCAATGACACGGTTCCTCTATTTTTTTATCACACGTTTCCCCAAAGAGTTATCGGGAACAATATTCTAATATATATATATATGTATATATATATATATATATATATATATATATATATATATATATATATATATATATATATATATATATATATCTTAGAAGATCCGTGGATATCGTTTAGGTTTTCCCCACAAACTCTTTATAAGCACTCTTTATAAGCATACCTCTCTCTGCATCTCTCTCCATCTCTCCCTGTATTTGCTGCTCCAACACCTCAGGTAAAGAAAGCCCTGTTCTTTTTTCCGTTCCCTTGCTTTGGTCCCTGTTCTTTAATCTGTTTTCACTTGCTTCGGTCTCAGTTCGTTTGCCCAATTTCACCCAAATCTTAAATATCCTGATTTTTGTTTCATTGAAGGATTGAAGGATAAAGGATTTTTATTCATTGAAGCAGTTATGGCTCCACGAATTTCAACTACACAAGGTTTCATTGATTCATGAAATTGATACAAGCAGTATTAATTGGAAGATAATTGTACGGGTAATTCATCTATGGTTAGTGCCGGATTCTTTTCTATTTATTTATTTTTATTTTTGTTTTATATTTCCAATATTTAGGAGCTAACTATTTTATTGATTTTGTAATAGGGTATGCGTATTCATGCTACCATAAAAAAAGAATCTCATTATGAAATTTAAGGAATTGGTGAAAGAAGGGGAAACTTATATGTTTCAAAATTTCTTGGTGGGTGATTCAAATTTACCATTTAGAGTATCTACGTACAGATTTAAGCTCAATTTTGTCGGAATGACTGTAGTTACTAATATAGTAGCCGAAAATATTCCGACAACCAACTTCAAGTTCGTTTCTTTCGACACAATAAAGAAGAATGGTTACGCAAGTTTTTCATGTAACTTAGTTTGGTAAATATTTGTTCTGTCTTACCGTTAATCACTAATATATTTGTGTCGTCTGTATCACAAGGGTTATGTAGAAATCCTCAGTAATCAAAATAATGTTGCAATTTGATTCAGTATATAACTCTGGTACATTTGATTTAATTTATTTATTTGTACAGATGTAATTGGCCATGTGGTAGAGAAGGGGCATATAAAGGAGGTCACTACAAAAGGAGAGAAAAGCAAGCTTTTGGATGTTATTCTACAAGATTTAGAGTAATTTAAATATTATATTTTTTTTTACAATTTTTATATGGATTTATTCTTATAATATTTTTAGTAATTTATTTTACATTACAGGAAAAATACAATTAAATGTACTTTATGGGAAGCATTTGCTAAACAAATTGATGCATATGTAACGAATGCTGACCAAAATGGTACTGTGGTCATACTTCAGTGTTTCAGGGCTAAAACTTATTGTGGTGCGTGTTAATATTTACATACCCTAATATTGATGCATATTTAGGAATTTGTTAAAATATTGATGCATATTTTTGTATATTATATTATTTCACCTGAAATCATACTTAGGAACCACGTGTTTGTCAAATGTTCGACATGGATCACAACTACTGATCGATCCGAATTTGAAAGAAGTTTTAGACTACGGGTGTAGGTACTAACATTTGATCATTCAACTTTTAATATATATATAACCTTGAGTATAATCATTCGTTATATATTTTAATACCTGTAAATTAACAGGCTTGCGTTGAGCGAAGAAGTCTATGTCCCATCAATTAGTCAATTATCGTCCCAACTTTCTTTGACTCGATCGTACGATCCACTCCAGGCAGATAGAATGACCATAGATGAGTGCGTTGAGAGTACAAAGGTACGTTGATTTGTCGAACATATATCTGATATATTTTTACATGAACAAATATAATGCTTAAGAATCGATTGTTGTATATATATTGTAGGTTTGTGTTGGATCCGTGCTGGCGAAAATTATGGAAATCGAGTCGGCAGCTAATTGGTGGTATGCTTCATGTAAAAATTGTGTGAAGAAGGTCGAACCCGTCTAAAAGAAATATTGGTGCGAAGAGTGTGACGGGTTTGTTCCTGCTGTACCAAGGTAATTATACTTTGATTTGGTAATATTTTACGAAATAAGTTCATTTGAATTGTTGCACCATCGTTCCTCTTGGTATTCGAAATTTTTATATAAAATATATATATTTGTACAGGTTCAGAGTTCAGGTGAGTGCCATTGATAGTACTTGATCGACTTCATTCGTAATGTTTGATCGTATTGTCATGCAATTAATTGAACAAAGTGCTTCAGAACTCCTAGGTGGTGCATCAAACAAGGTATTGTTGCTGTAATAAGTTATGTACAATTAACTCTTTCGTTTGCAATGACGATAAATAAAAGTCAAGGCCAATCTCTTCAACATGTGGGTATATATCTTCAGAAACCAGTGTTTTCGCATGGACAATTATATGTTGCTATCTCAAGAGTTACGAGTCGAAGAGGCTTGAAGATACTTATTTGTGACAACGACGGGAACACCTCCAATACTACTACGAACGTCGTTTATAAAGAAGTTTTCCAAAATCTGAGCTAAGTAAGTTATTTATATATTTGTTTAAATTTATATATGGATTTTTTTGTTTTCAAAGTTTTATAAATGAGCTTTGTAACATTTATTTTCAATTTATAAAAAGTTCTTTTTTCTTTCATTTTGTCCTACGGTGCAGGTGACATATGATCAAGAGTTGAAAACAACTACTATGTTGGTGGCCGGATTAATTCTTTGGTGGATAGAGTTTTATTAGATTTTTCAATAAAATATTCAATATATAGTTTTTATTAGATTTTTCAGTTAAATATTCAATATATTTTTATTTCTGTTTTTTTAATGATTGTTATGTTTGTTTGTTCAATCCCGTGCATCGCACGGGTCAAGTTACTAGTGTGTAAAAGAAAAGTAGGCTTGATTTATTTTTTAATTGGAGGGAGTAATGAGTTAATTATGCTCTAAATGAGAGTATGTTTTATTTACGATAAAAATAAATATAAATAATTATAAATTAAAAATTGAAAACTTCGGTTGAACACTAGTTGAGCCGATCCAACCATAACTCAATAACTTGTCCGGGTCAATGTTCGGTCTGGTTTTTAAAGCATTGGACTAAAAACAAATGCAGTCCTAACTCCTAATTTATACACACCTAAGATTTAAAATGAACTTCTAATAATATAAAATAAAATAAGTAACTAAAATAAAATAAAAAAGAAAGTGAACTTTCTAAATCAATTCGTAACATTAGTTTGAACTCATTCCTGGGGCTTCTATTATGGGTGGAAATTAGAATAAAATTTTCGAATTTCGCCAATTTCCATTCGATTATATCCAAATTTGATATGTATTTTTCATTTAGATTTCCAAAGTTTTGACATCCGATTTTTCTGAATTTATTTGGAAGGAAATCAGAATGGTATATAAAATTATCGAAAATTCCAATTTTTGACCCGATTTTAGTTCGAATATTTCTATGATTTTTCAAAATATATAATATAAGTTTATGATATATTTTGTAATTCCATAATATAACTTATGTTATATTTTATATGAAAAATATAAATATCAAAGGGTTAAGTAAATTAAAAGCTTAGAAAATATTAATTGGTATCAGAAACTTTATGTTGTCTTTTTTCTTATAAGAAAATCTATATTTCAATTTACTGTTCCTACATGTGTTTTTATTTATTGCGCTTTGTCGATTTTTTTTTTGAATTTTCCTACAAAATTCGAAAAAGATAGAAAAATATGGTGAAAATTCTTATTATATTCGAATTCGGAACAAAAGATTATAAACTAATGGAATCTCCGAAATTCCACCGATTCCAAAGCATTTTTAAATCGGAAAGAATTTTTGCATTCCAATTTCTTATATCAAAAATTGAAACTCATTTTTTACTTTTGAAAAAAAATTAAAAAAATTTCGAAAAAATCATTCATGATCCATTGATTTCCACTCCTAGCTCCAACAAACAACAAAAAAATAAAATAATAATAATTAATAACAATATAAAATAAATAAAAGTAAGTAAAGGTTGACAGGCGAGCGAAAGAATAACACGTATAGCAACAAAAAGTTTGAAAAAGAGACGCTTAGATTTGCATAGGACACTGTTGCAATTTAATTAATAGAATGGAGGGGCAGAGATTAACGAAAGCTTAATTGCTTTTTAACAAAGAAACAGAACCCACTAAACAATCTTACAATATTAATTAAGAAGTATGATAACTGTATCTAACATGATTCTGGATTTGTTAAGTAATTTTTTTTCTTTCTAATATTGGTTTATTCCACATTTAATTATGCTCATTGAATAAATAAAACTTTGACAAATAACTAATTAATTTATTTTCTTCGATTATTATTTTCCCCGTCCTCGTCTACCCGATGTATAAAAATTACAAATACAAATTACAAATGGCTCTGGCTACTATACCTTCACCATGCAACAAATATCAGTAGAACCTCGATAAATTAATAACCTCGCTTAAATAATAATTTCTCTCAATCACAACTCAGTAAAAAACATATTAAATTAATAACCTCGCTTAAATAATAATTTCTCTCAATCACAACTCAGTAAAAAACATATTAAATTAATAACCTCGCTTAAATAATAATTTCTCTCAATCACAACTCAGTAAAAAACATATTAAATTAATAATTCGATAATTTAATATTTCGCTAAATTAATAGAATTTTACCGACCCCTACTGTATTAATTTATAAAGATTTATCTGTATACAATTGAGCCATTATAACATCGCATTAGCATAATCTATCTTTCAAAAAATAAAACACAATATTGTATAATATTATCATGTCTAATCCTAGTGTGACAACCAAAAGAGGACCAATTAATTAAGAAAATATAGTAACCTCTCATATTATTATAAAGTCTTAAAAGGAAAATATATGACATCCTAATTATAAGTAATCAAAGCTTAAATGAAAGGGAAAAATAAGTTGGTAAATGAATTATGACTATTTAGTAACATCAGCTCAATCAACAAGGCCAACACCATGTTAATTAGCTGGCATTTTTCAATATTTCTCCAAAAAATGAATTCTAATAGGAGCTGATGTGTCTTTCATCTAATTTGTCGTCAATGCATCTCTTCGTAAATTGTCGAATGTAAATGTTGCGCCGCATCAAAGAGAAGTTGATCCAACAATCGAGCGAATCCGATGCAACATATCTGCTTTTACCGAATCAGGTACAGAAGCTGAACATGAAAACATAAACATATTTCATTAAGATTAGAGCATTTCATAAAACCAAATACCAGACACTTGCAAATTACAATTGAAGTTTGCTCGAGATCTTGCCAACTTCGATAAAAAAAAAAATTAATAAAATTTAAAAGTGCAATTAAAACTACATTACAGCAAAGATGATGTCACATTATGAGTAAATCCTAAACAAAATACATATCCTCTACGAGTTGGATATGCTCGGTTTCTAGGTGGAGTGTTGTTGACTCATCCTCTTTTTTTTTTTTTTGTGTTTTTTTTTTTTACCCCACAGTTGAACCGTTGAATTGTTCCATAAGTAAACATTCAAGTAAAATGAAAATAAAAGTATCGGAAGGTCAGGGTAGAGCAAGATCGAGAGTTAAATAACTAAAAAACCCATTAACAACATTGATGGTAAGTTGGAGAGGAATTATATTAGAATATTTCAGAAATAATTTACAGCTAAATACAGGAGGAATGACAAAGGAACTGCTCGATGATTACATTTTTTTATTAATTTAAAAAAAATAAAAAAAAATCAATGGAGTTAAGTGAAGACAAGCGGTTCCTGGAAACGAAATGTTTCAATGAATTGAGATTCTCTTAAGAGTACAGGTCGTAATTCGTAAAGATATAAATATAACGAGTGGGTCCGTTCACTTGTTTTAATTCATCGACGAAGTATAAACAAAGGAAGCATAATACAGGTCAAATGCGGCACTCACTCATCTAATCTTAGTCGTCGTCCTCCACGAACTTGATTTAAACAACAAAAACTACAGATGGAAATAAAGTTTATCTTTTCAACTTTTTTACTAGATTCCCTCGTTGATTAACGAGAGTCACAAATGCTGGTTCCAAGAACAATTCAGTTTGATATAGTATAATTTTGGTATCAACAATTCTAGATAGAGACGAGCTGAACAAAACCAAACGAATGGTATCAATACGCATCAAATATAAACAAACGAAATCATATAGAGTAAAATATAAGTCCGTATAAACATCATAAAGCACACAATCCATGAAGTACAAGAATCGAATCAATCATCCATGTGCTTTATTCGAGTACGCAATCCAATCGAATTAAAATCAATTAAACAAGAAAGTAGGAAATGAATAAGAGAATAAATTACATACCTCTTCCTTTCGGGGTTATGGCATCGACGAGTTCATCCACAGTTACGTTTTTCCTTCCGTTCTTCCTCGCAATCTCCCTAATATTGCAAACACAAGAAAAATTCAATTAAAATTTTATTTAATAAAAAAAATTAATCAATAAATAAAATTAGGGCTAAAAGAAACCTGCAAACGGATTTCATCTCATCTCTCCAGCCACATTCAACAAGCTTTTCTCTCAACAGTTCCTTCAATCGCTCCTTTTCTTCGCTCTCAATTAACTACATTATGAGGATTAACGAATCGATTACTTAATTAAAAAATAAAAATTAGGGAAACCATTAACTAACTGTTAATAACATAAATAAATATATAATAATTAATACCTTCATATTGACGGTTGCTTGAACGGTGGTTGGCTCGCGATTCCGATCAATTTCTGCATCCGGAGACGGCGGCCGTTTGATCGACGCCTTCCTTCATCGGAGAAGATTAAAAAAAATTGAAGAAACAGTTCAGCAATTAGCGAAGATACGAAATTGTTAAAATCTACTAAAAAATTCTATAATTAATTATTTGCTAAATCTACATTTGAGCTGGGTGATTTCCAGAGAGTATGAGCTTCGAAAATGATTTCTTGTTCTCTCGAACTTCGTTTGTAATTTACAGGAGTTTGGAAGTCGGTTTAATGTTGAAGAATTATAACCTTTTAACAAAAAAAAATAAAAATGGAAAATACTAATATTAATAACAAAAAAATTAGAAAATCTAAAATTTCGTCAATTAGAAGTTTTTTTTTTTTTTTTTTTTTCTGATACGGACAGCTACAGTACTAAGCTAGAGGTAAAATTTACATTTCATTGGGATTTTTTTAAATACATTTGGGATACGAAACTCGAAGACGAAGCAAACAATTCGAGTTTTGTAGCCTCAAATATTTATATATACATACATATACTAAAAAAATGAGTGTGAAGTCCGAATTGAAATGAAAAAAAAGGTACAAAATTAGAAATTTTGGATTAGAATTGCAAGATTCATAAATTATATTTATAAATTTACCTATATTATAAAATATATATTAATATTGATATTATAAAAAAATTATCTCGCGAGAAAACTACAAAGATATCAGTGAAAAGTTGCAAGAATGTCACTAGGATGTCGCTAGAACAAAACTATGGGGTGCCCTTTGCCAGACCATCGTTTCTATCACCGTTGGTGCCCTTTGATAAACGTGCAATGTCGTTGAAACATGTTATGTTCTCTATATAACGAATTTTTCCGATAGTCATACTCCAGATTGGTCACAAGATGAAGATGTAGCGTTACTAGTGGCGGAGCCAGGAATTCGAGACAGGGTGGGCTTAACATTTACGGGGGTTCGGGGGCAGCGCCCCCGATTTTTCTCTTTTGATTCATTCATATAAAAATGTAGCACAAAATAACTACAAATTTATAATCTTCAACTAATATAGGCTACACTAAATTACTTGTGGGTGGGTGGGCTTAACATTTACGGGGGTTCGGGGGCAGCATCCCCGAATTTTTTTTTTGATTCATTAACATAAAATAACTACAAAATATAAACTTCAACTAATATAGCATAAATATTTTGACAAATAAACTAAACTAAATTACTTGAATGGCTAAATTAAACTATTTAAGTGGGCTAATTATATATATATATAATATAAAGTATAATTTTAAAAAAAATGAGTGGGCTGGAGCCCACCCTTGCCAAAGGGTGGCTCCGCCACTGGCGCTTACAGAAGCGTTCTTTACGACTGCATATGATCAAATTAATAGTGTACGCTTAACATAAGGTGCCATATGGAAATTTGTTATTATTTGGTATATGGAGAGAAATGTTACCATAATAGTATTCTGTACTCAATTATATATACTTGACATTACTTTATTTTTAATTTTTAATTTTTAATTTTTAATTTTTAATTTTTAATCTATATTATATATAAAACTAAGATACACAATAAAAGTTATCCACTTGAGGAGATTGAGTCCACATTATTTTATAAATTTCAAAATAACCCCAATTACCATATTCACCCATATTATTAATGAATTAATTTCACATTATTGGTTTTTAAATTTTATCTCTCCTACATGTCAAAATAGTGTATTTTTATTGGTTATTGAGTTTCTTTTTTTTTCATTGCTTCATATAAAAAACGTAAATATATAAATGAACATTCCACTTAATTTGGGTTAATTAAATTTTATGCACAATATTGTATTAATTGCCAAAAAACCTCAATTATCATAATCATCTATATTATTAATTAATTAATTAATTTCACATTATTGGTTTCCAAATTTCATCCCTCCTACATGTCAAAATAGTGTCTTTTTATTGGTTAATGATTTTTTATAAACAATATTTTGATTAAAAAAACGTAGGGCTTAAATGCAATTTTTTAATTTCACAATTGAGTAAATTATAAAACTAAAATACACAATCAAAGTTTTCTAATTGAGGACATTGAGTCCACATTGTCTCATTATTTTCAAAAAAACCCTAACTTCCATAAACAACCACCTAATTATCTATTTATTAAAAAAAATGTGGTTACCTAATTTGAATTGCGCACATGGCCAATTTGTGCATTTTAATTGTTTGATTTTTACCGTTTGGCAAACTATCCATATATACAAAAAAATAATAAAATCCAAATTTCATATATGGACAAAATATGCATTTTCATTGGATGATTGTTTTCAACTTTTAATTTTAATTGCACACATGGACAATTCGTGCATTTTAATTGGTTGATTACATATTTATATTTAATTTATTACATCTTATTCGCATATCTAATATTATGTTTTCTTAATAAATATTTTAATTTTTAATCTATTTTTAATAGTTATTTTGTATATCACTATTTTATGGAAAATATTTACCAACCTATTAACTATATATTAATATAGATAAATTAAAATATTATTTAATAATTGGTACATGGTAATGAAATCATCTATTATAACCGTAAGATCAATTTAGAAATGATTGACTCGATTGAATATAAATATGATAGGTAATTGTAAATATGGAGGTAAATACGCAATTATAGAGGTAATTAGAAATTTCATAAAATTTGAATTTATACCTAATTAGTTTTCAAATTTTGAATATTGACTAATTAGTTTCTAAAAGAGTATTAACTCTACATTAATTACTTTATTTATTTCCTTTATTACATTATTGAACCACCTATAAATTCACCATTCAACACATTCACCTTCTTCATCTTTCTCACACAACTTTTTATTTTCTTTTGCAATTTAATGTAATTCGAATTATTCAATTTAATTTCGTATTGAGTATTGACTTATTGTTTCGTAATCTTTTGTCGTAATTCTTTCGATTTATCAATTATTGTTTTATTCGTTATTTTTAGTGTTTCGGAGATATGGCGAAGAGCATGTTTCAAAAAGAATTGCATAGGCATCACATACCTACAATTGTTGAAACATCTTAGCCTTTTTTATACTATATGTTTAAGTTATTAATTTATTTTGTATTTGATTTCGTTATTCAATTATATTTGCAACATTTGAGTAATTCTTTCATTGAAGCTACAGGATTGTATCAACCTTTGCTAGGAGTGTAGAACTCATGTTCAAGTTGTTATATATGTTCGCGAAGAATATATGGGCAAATAAGGTTTCAATTGACCGAGAGTTGGAGAGAGTTTTGAAGATCAAACAACACGGCGTGCGACAACAAGTACTCTTTTTATCTACAACTATATTATATATGAAACTAAGATACACAATTAATTTTTTCCAATTGAGGAGATTAAGTCCATATTGTTACATAATTTCAAAAAAATCCCACTTACCATAATCACCTATATAATTAATTAATCGATTTATCATTATTAGTTTTCAAAATTTATCTCTCCTACAAGTCAAAATATTGTCTTTTATTGGTTAACGAGTTTCCTTTTTTTTAATCAATTGTTTGATAATAAATACGTAAAAACATAAATGCACGTAATTCTTTTTTTTTTTGGTTAATGAGATTTTATGCACAATATTTATATTAACTGCAAAACAACCCCATTTACAAGAACCACCCATATTATTAATGAAATAATTTTATATTATTGGTTTTCAAATTTGATCTCTCCTACACGTCAAAATATTGTCTTTTTATTGGTTAATGAGTTTCCATTTTACAAACATTATTTTGATTAAAAAACGTTCGAGCTATAATCAATATTTGTAATTTCCCAATTGAGGAAATTTTATGTACAATATTTATATTAATTGAAAAAAAAACCCCACTTATAATATTAGCCCATATTATTAGTAAAATAATTTCACAGTATTGATTTTCAAATTTTATCTCTCCTACATGTAAAAATAGAATTTCACAATATTGGTTAATGAGTTTCATTTTTATAAACAATATTTTGATTAAAAAAACATAGGACTTAAATGCAATTTTTTTTAATTTCCCAATTGAGAATTTTTTTTGCACAATATTATGTTGATTGCAAAAAAACTCCACTTACCATAATCACCCATATTGTAAATGAAATAATTTCACAGTATTGGTTTTCAAAATTTATCTCTCCTACATGTCAAAATAGTGTCTTTTTAGTGGTTAATGAGTTTCCTTTTTTTATACAATATTTTGAATGAAAAAAACGTAGGACTTAAATGCAATTTTTTAAATTTTCACATATTATTGTATTTAAATTAATTTAGATATATCCGGAAATTATATCAATTTAAATTAATTACTTTATTTGTTACCTTTATTACATTCTTTAACTCTCCTATACATTACCATTCAACAATACATTCACCTTCTTCAACTTTTCCACATACATTTTTTCTGTTTCGGAGATAAGGAGAGGATTCTTGAGAAAGAATTGCATTGGTATCACCAACATGCAATGATATATTTCATTATAGTCCCTTTTTGTAGTATAATTTTACTTTTTTGTTTTATTTTGTAATTGATTTCTTCATTCAATTCTATTTGCAGCATTTGAGTAATGCTTTTATTGAAACTTCTCGGTTGACAAGATTGTCTACTATCAACCTTCGCTACGATTAAGGCAATCATTTTCAAGTTGTTGTGTGTTCGCGACAAAAGAATATGGAAAAATGTATGTGCTGTTGACTAAGGGTTGGACACAATTTTGTTACGCAAATAACATGGTATGCGGCAACAAGTACTCTTTTTATTTTAACCAATGGGATGATGTACTTGAGGCATGGCTTGGCCCAGCCTTTTAAATGTTATGATATGTTTTTGGCATTCCTTAAAGTTTTATTAATAATATGAATTGCATCGATTTTCAAATAATTTTGGTTTTTTTTATTATGTTATCTATCATTTATACATTAAACAAACATATGTATGCATATAAATCGAATGCATATACTAGCCACATGGAAATAACATTGTATTCCATTAACGTAATTGTGCGCATTCACACGGAAACGAGCGCCCATAAGATAAACCGAATAAAGGTATGGAAGGGAAAAAAATTATAATATATTACAAAAGAGCCACAAAATTGGGCCAATAAAGGAAATTTGAAAAATATCTAAATAACTAATCTTTACATAGATGTTATATATCTGATACATAGATATGTATTGCTTTGATAGTTGTGAAACTAATGTTATATGCATCTAAGCCCATATAATGTTAATATTTATCGTTAAAAACTATGTATTTACTGTCTTTATTGTTTTAATAAAAACCGCGTTAAAAACTATGTATTTACTGTCTTTATTGTTTTAATAAAAGATGAATAATCTATGCAACAATTAAATGTAAAAGTCTAAAATCCTGTACATAATTATATTTAATTGTTATTGTAATAATGTACAATAAGCAAATCGGATATATACAAATTTTCACATGTACAATAATGTACAAAATTATATATTGTTTCCACATAATATATGCTAAATTTATTAACCATATATAAAATACATATGGATATTTTATATATCGGATATATATTTTCGTAATGTATGTATGGATATTTATTTTGTATTTTCGCACAATTTATATTTTGTTTCCTTATTATTAATTAATGATGATGTAAAATTTTAGAATTATGTATCGGATATATAATTAATTCTAATTAAGAATATAAATCTATTTAAATCAACATTTAATTTGTGCAAATTATTTATAGAAAATTGCTTAATTGTATTTCATTACATGGAATATGAATATTTGTTGCAAGACAAAATTTCGTAAATTAATTATTCTTCCCACACGTTTCCAAAATATAAAGTAAAATTATTGCTAATGTTAAATCGATATATATTTTTCCGGTAGGTCAACCGCCGTTGACTTTTTTTTTTTTTTTTTTTTTATAATTTTGTTTTTTCTTACAGAAATATTTTAATTAATATTATTGTCTTGGCTACTAAATTACTGTCTCCAACAGTTATTTAACTGTCGGAGACAATAATTTAACTGCTAATTGATTTTTTTTCTTCAAAAATATTTTAATTAATATTACTGTCTTGGCTGCTAAATTACTGTCTCCAGTAGTTATTTAACCGTCGGAGACAGTAATTTAACTGCTAATTGCCTTTTTTTTTTAAATATTTTAATTAATATTACTGTATTCGTTGCTAAATGACTGTCTCCAGCAGTTATTTAACTGTCGGAGACAGTAATTTAACTGTTAATTGACTTTTTTTTTCTTAAAAAAATATTTTTAATTAATATTACTGTCTTGGCTGCTAAATTACTGTATCCAGCAGTTATTTAACTATCAGAGACAGTAATTTAACTGTTAATTGACTTTTTTTTTTAATTTTGTTTTCTTAAAATAAATTATTTTAATAAATATTACTGTCTTAGCTGTTAAATTACTGTCTCAGACATTAATATTAATAATATTTCTATTCGAAAAAATAATATTCATAATATTACTGTCACAAACAGTAATATTATTGTCTGAGACGGTAATTTAGTAGCCAAGACAGTAATATTAATTAAAATATTTTTTTCTAAGAAAAAAAATTCAGAAAAAAATCAACGCCGGAGACCGGCGGTCAACGCCGAAATCTGGCCGGAAAAAAAAATCTAAAAAAAAAAAATTTCTGAAAAAAATATTCAAAAAATTATTATTTTGGGGGTTAATGTGATATATTTGTTTAAATCCGGGGTCATATGTAATATTACGAAAGTTAGAGCATAATGGATGGAATTGATAAGAATTATAATATGAAGGTTATTTTAGACTAAAGACATGGGGATGAGTTTATTTGAAAGAATATTTTTTTTTGTAGACCAATGTGCATTTAAGTCCCTTGTGATGAGCCTTTTTGCCATTCGCCCTATATATATATATATATATATATATATATATATATATATATATATATATATATATATATATATATATATATATATATATATGAGTATACGATAGGTATTAGTTATTTATATGATTTCTTTTTCCTTTCTATTTAGCATTTATTTATAAAGTGTTTTCTTACAATGTTTTAATATTGATTACAGATGTTATTGGTTCGATTTTGTCGATAGGTTCATTGGCTCACCTAGCCGGTGGAACCAAATAAAACACTCCATTTGAACTTGAAGATATTAAGTAATTTAAAACTCACTGAAATATATTTTTTAGATTTTACATGTGTTTTTCATATCTATCATCATTTTCTTTGATATGCAAGTGATTGTTTGCTAGGAGAAAACTTTGCTGATTACATACTTCAACGAATTCAGGATATTAGTGTAGGGTTGTATATTGTTGTAATACAATTTGCAACTAATGAGATTAAGAATAGTATTAATTTGTTCAATATTTCTCTTATGTATTTGGTTTAATAAATGTGAAGGACATTATTACATTTCATGCCTATTCTTATGTTTTCTCAGGTGAAGTCCAGGTATCCAACCATTGGCATTCATCGCATGTGCTTATAAATGAGGATATTCCTGCAATTAACGAATTCAAATCGAGGTTATAATTTTATCTTTAAATAAATTTATTACTTTGTTTTTACATTTATTTCGTTCATTACGATTTATTAGCATGTAGTTTTTATTTTAGTTTCATTCGAAGTAAACCAAATAGTTGTCAAGTGATAAATCAGATGTCGTCGCAGTCTTCTTACTCGATAGAAGATGATTTCATACGTAAGACTGTTAGAAAAAAATTGGACGGGTTGAGTGACACAAATGAGGTAATAACAATGTATTTGCTACATTATTTATTCGTACACTTTCAATAAAATACAAATATAAACCATTTATCAAATCTGATTATAACTATATTTAACTAACTATTGTTTATTTTCTCAATATAGGATTTCCAACTCTGTTCATCACCATCACATGCAATCCTCAATGGCCTGAAATACAAAGGGTGTTGAAAGATACAACTCAGGCCGGGGATCGGCCAAACATTCTATGTCTTGTGTTCAAGATGAAGCTCAATAGTATAATGACATAAATTAAGAAATGACGTGTATTCGGACGTATTAGAGCATGTAAGTATTTAATTAGATCTCAATTTATAATTATACATTTACTACATTCATAGGAATTAGAGATATGCATCCTATGTGAGTTTTAATATTTATTTATTCATTAACTAAATTAATGCATATTGTTTCATATCATTTATTTACAGTTCCTCTCCAGATGTGTGGACTATTGAATTTCAGAAACGAGGTCTACCGTATGCACATATTTTGTTGTGGTTGCATAATGATGACAAGCCCAAGACCCCAGAAGAAATTGACAAGATTATATGTCTTGAAATTCCTGACGAAGAAACCGACAAAAAGATGTACCAGTTGGTGGAGAAGTATATGATACATGGACCGTGCGGTCAGGCGAATTTGAAATCTCCCTGTATGAAGGATCGAGTTTGCACGAAGCGATTTCCAAAGCCATTTGTGCAACGAACTGAGTCAGATACATATGGTTATACTGTGTACAGGAGAAGGGAAGATGGCATAACGGTTATGAAGAAAAAGACTACTCTTGACAATGGTTTTGTGGTTCCGTATAATTGGGTAATATTGAGTAAATATAGATCTCACATTAATATAGAGCTATGCAATCAAAACATGTCAATCAAATACATGTTCAAATACGCCAACAAGGGTCATAATCGAGTTACAACGGCATTTTACGAAAGACGCAATATAGATGGTTGTGCTGAGATTCGTGACGAGATAAAGATGTACTACGAATGTAGATATCTTTCGACATGTGAGGTAATGTGGAGGTTGTTTAATTTAGATATTCATTACAGAGACCCATCTATAATTAGACTAAGTTTTTATCTCCTAGATCATTAGTAGCTTGTCTTCAATGAAAACAAGTCATTAAAAAGTGTTTTGGATAGGCAATCTGCCAAGCAAATGATGTTCTTAGCGTGGTTTGAGGTAAACACAAGTTATCCACATGCCAGGGACTTGAGGTACGGAGATTTTCCATAGCAGTTTGTGTATAAGGAGGATTCTTGCACTTGGGCGCAAAAAAAAAATGGATTTTCTGTTGGTAGGATTGCAAATGTTCCCCCTGCAAAGGGGGAGACTATTACCTTAGGTTGCTACTTAACATTCAGAGGGGTGCAGGTGTTACGAGGACATCAGAAAAGTTGCTGACTACGTTTACCCTACGTTCAGGGATGCGTGTTATGTGTTGAGTTTGTTAGACGACAACAAAGAATACATGGACGCGATAAGAGAAGTGAATGCTTGGGCATCTGGGGATTATATAAGGAGGTTATTTGCGGTTATGCTGCTTTCCAATAGCTTAAGTCGGCCCGAACATGTTTGGCAAAGTTGTTGTTCGGGTTTGGCGGAGGGTATTGCTTACATAGAACAATGGCTTCATAATAATCCAGGTATGGCAATTTGTGTAGAATAGAATTAGATTTTAAATATTACTCACTTTTTTAATAGGCTCTTTAAGTTTTGAACTAAATGCATATGATGTATCAAATTTTTGTGCAGATTTATCTATATCGGATGAAAGCTTGATGAACTATACTCTCACTAAAGTAGAGAAAATATTGCAAAGTAATGGTAAAAGTCTACGTAATTACGTGCCCATGCCATTTTCAATTGAATTCGCGGTGGAGGACACAATAAACATATTGGTCTTAGATGAACTGGATTACGACGGTTTGAAATGGGTAAAGAACTTCAACGGTGTCTTGCCTCAATTACAGACGAGCAAATAAAGGTTTATGATGTAGGATGTTGTATCTAATGACCGTGGTGGAATGTTCTTTCTATATGGTCATGGTGGAATGGGAAAACATTTCTCTGGAAAACTCTTTCGGGTACAGTCCGTTCCAAGGGAGAGATTGTAATTAATGTTGCATCGAGTGGTATATCATCGTTATTGCTCATCGGTGGAAGAACAACTAATTTTCGATTTCGACTTCCCATAACTGTACACGAGACTTCCACCTACAGCATAACGCAACAAAGTCCACAGGTGGAGTTGATGATTAGGGCTAAGCTTATTATGTGGAACGAGGCTCCTATGATGCATATGAACTGTTTTGAAGCGCTTGACACGACAATGAAGTCTATTTTACAGGTAGACAAACCGTTTGGAGGTAAGGTGGTTGTTCTTGGAGGAGATTTTAGGCAAATTTACCAATCGTACTGAAAGCATCAAGGCAGGACATAGTGCATGCTACGGTAAACTCCTCTCCGTTGTGGCATTTCTTTCGTGTCATGAAGTTGAGTAAGAACATGAGATTGCAGTCATGTTCTTCTCCATCTAATGTGGACGAGGTAATAGAATTTGGGGACTGGATACTGAAGGTTGGTAATGGGAATGTTAGGGAATAATATGATGGTGAAGCTTCGCTAGAGATTCCCGATGACATGTTGATTGGTGATTCAGAAGATCTATTCAGAGACCTACTGAACTTCGTCTATCCTGATTTGTTGAGTAACATGTATGATCCAGATTATTTTCAAGGGAGGACAATTTTTGCACCAACTAATGAACGCGTCGAGTCTGTGAACGATCACTCGATGTCTCTCCTTCCAGGTGAGGAGAAGGTGTACCAGAGCTCAGATAGTAAGTGTAGGGACGAGCGAACAACGGATCGGAGGATAATGCAAAAATCTATTCGACTGAATTTCTCAACACAAGAAGTTGCTCGGGGGTTCCTTCTCATGTATTGAAGTCCAAGGTCGGTGCACCAGTTATGTTAATAAGAAACATCAATCAAGCAGAGGATTGTGCAACGGGACCAGACTTCAAATTACTATAATCGGCATTCACGTTCTGCATTTTTAACTTATTTCCGGCAAAAATATCGGTGACATTGTGTTCATTCCTCAGATGACTTTAATACCATCTAACTTCGGATTGTCAATTAAATTTCAGAGAAGACAGTTTTCGTTGATTGTTTCTTTTGCAATGACGATCAACAAAAGCCAATGCCAAACTCTTTCGCATGTTGGTTTGTATCTTCCTCGGCCTGTCTTCAGCTATGATCAACAACTGGGAATTTGAAGGTGTGGCATTAAGATAGTTATCAAGTGCAGAGTTAAGAGCAGATGTGGCATTAAGATAGTCATCAAGTGGGATTCGGACGAACTCACCGATGTTACTAGAAATGCCGTCTACAAGGAAGTATTTCATCGAATTTGAAGGTTGAAAATATTTTTATATTTATGAGTTCTTCATGTAACATGTCTTGGTTTTTATTTTTTTTTGAACATTTTACTCTTTGGCAGGTCTATCTTTCCTATATGTTTTCCTCCGTGCGATGTTATTTTCAGTCATGTCCCTAGGATGCTCAATGCAAATCTTATTATCTTTAAGATTTATGTTTGTCGATATACTAATATTTAATATTATTTTTATATTGTAACTATGAAGAACATGATACTTATAACATATTTTTAATACTGTTGGTCAATAACGTTTTGTACTTAAATTAATGAGCGTAATAATTGATATCTATGTAAATTTGTTTTACAGACCTGTATTTCCAGTTGAAAATATGCCGCCCCGTGCATCGCACGGGTGAATACTAGTTTATATTTAAAGCAAAATAACGAAACAATAATAAATTTCCCACCATTTTCCAAAGTGCGAAACATTAAATCAATTTTCCCGCCAAATCCCAAAAACCCCAAATAAAGCTTAAAAAATCCCAATCACCCGAAACCCCCAATTATTTCTTCCCTCGCCAGCCAATCGAAAAAAAAAAAAAAACCGCTGCAATGACGGAGCAAGTAGAAGAAGAAGAACAAAACCCCACCGCCATAGACGAGCCGCCGCACAAGCTCGAGCTGCCGACTCGGCGAGTGAAGAACATAATGAAACTCGACAAGGACATAAACAAGGTCAACTCGGAAGCCCTATTTCTCATCGCTTCATCCACCGAGCTCTTCCTCCAATTCCTCGCCGAGAAATCCGCGCTCGTCACTCTGGAGAAGAAGAAACGAACCGTACGGATCGATCATATTCGAGCTGCGACGAAACGACACCGTCCGACCGCAGATTTCCTGCTCGATTCTCTCCCGATGCCACCTCAGCCGTCCGATCATCAAAATAATCCCCCAAAAGATAGGGCCAAATCGAAGACAGATAAGAAGCCTGTTCCTTTCGCCACTAAGTCAATTGATGCTTTCTTTCACAAATCCACTTAGATTTGAACTTGTTTTTATTTATATTATTTCGAATATTCTCGATTTTTTTTTGTCGTTCTTCGAAAAGTTTCGTTGAAATGAAAAATCTATTCACTTTTTGCACTGTTTTTTTCTTGTGGCCCGAAAGTTTCGGTAGATGGATCGTAGTATGCATTTCGTTACGTAATTCTGATTCACTAGCGGAGCCAGGATTTTAAGTTTGCCGGGGCCGAATGCATTAAAACTTTTATGTGGGGGTGGGGCAATGCTAAATTTTACATTTTTAGATCCTTACATAAAAAAATAGGAATTCGAGAACTGTTGGGGGGCCATGGCCCCCTCTGGCCCTATGGGGTCTCCGCCACTGATCTGATTCACTTGTTTATTCATTCGATGGCATAAAATTTCTTTCGTACTAATCGATTACAAGGGGCGAGAAAATCACTATAAAAATAAAGACATTTTAGCGGCTCGGCCTACGGTGAATAGGGGCCGGAAAAAGACGAGACGACTGAAATTGTATCTTCTCTAAGATGATAAGCGAACCCTTTTGCGTAGTTCATTTGTCCATGTGCTTTTTTTCCTCCTTTTATTAACGACATGGTCTTCGGTGAAGGCGGAGCAAGTTTTCTATTTAGAGGGCTTGAGTTCACGAAGCCTCCGTTTAAGCTTTTATCGGAAAGCCGCCGACTACTACTTGTGCCGGGCCTTGTTCCAAACGGGCTTTCGTGCTCGGTTACTACTTTGCTCTGTGCCTTCTTATGCTCCTGTGTTTAAGAGTAACATCGTTTATTAAATTGAGCTTTAATTTTGGGTTATTCGTTAGTGAGATTTTGAAATTGTTGGTGAATGTATTATTACCCTTTGTCGGTGTTTTTCCTCCTCTTTCTCGTTCCTCAATATATTGTACTCTTCAAGCATCGCCATTATCGGAACCTATAGCCACAAAATTTCTCGTGTGAGAATGAATCACAATACGTACTTATATGCTTATATCTTATTGCAAAAGTTTGAGTATGTTGTAGAGCTATGTAGAACGGAAACTTCAATTTTTTAATGTTTCAGCGTTTCGTGTCCGACACTCGAAGGACGCCTGGTGGACATCTTATGGGCCATTTTGCAATTTCAAAAAACTTAGAAACAAGTTTTAAATAGCAAATTTCAAATGTTTTTGTTGCTTCCCTAATTATTTACATGATTTAATGATCAAATTGATAGTTTATAGTAAAATTTATTTTGAATATGTTCATATGAAAATATATAAAAAGTATTTATATATAAATAAAAACTTATATATATTTATATACCATATTTATAAATACACCCCTAAACCTTTAATATTTACACATTTCCTCCAAGCTCCTGTATCCCCATTTTTGGGACGTGCCCTTTCCTCGTATCTATTTCCATCGCTGTTTCAGTGTCCGTACTACATATATATGGTTTATATGTAGTTTTACAAAAAAATACGATAGTCTCGTGTTGTTAAACATTTAAAAACTGTTAGTTTCGTATTTTAAATTTATCTTTTTAGCTAAAACTCTTGATTGTTGCTAGTTAACATGCGAAAATTTACATTGCAAGTGACAGCAGGAATGATTATTTGAAATAAGATCATCTTGATAAAATCATACCTCGTCGTACAGGAAACTTTTATTTCTTTCATCTTCCCACGATTTGGTCTTCGATATCAGCTGTTCCATCAAAGCTGCCGCAAAAAAATACGCAGAGGAATCGAATCGCACACGTTAGTTCCCAATTTTTTCCTTACACTCATCTATTAGTTTCTTTTTTTTTTTTTTTTTTTCTTTTAATTCTTGAAATGTTCGTAACCTGGTATCTTGTTGACCATAACTCGGGCACGCTCTGCTCGTTTAAGGTTCTTGTGAGCACCTCTGCTCACTGAATATCGATTTTCGTCCTGAAATAAAAGATTTCGATTACTAATACTGTCTTAACAAAAATTTAATTTCTTACACGAAAAACAAGATTAAAAAAAAAATTATAATCTTACCCTGTTGTATTCTTCCAACCAACGTTCTTCGTCACGTGCCAATATCCATTTTTCAACCTTCTCCATAATCACTTTTCGACTAGCAGCTTCTTCTCTAGCTCTCGATATCTGTTCATCCATGCTCGAGAGGAGCTCCGCATGATCAATTTCCCCTTTTTTTTTTTTTTTAGATTTATTTCCATTAGTAGATGAAAAATGAAATAAAAATGCTCATGCCTTCAAATAAATTAATTACTAGTGTATAAAAATATATTCCAGAAATAGCGGGCTAACCAGAGTTTATTTGGTTCGTTAACTTTTCCATGTCGGATCTCGAAGGTATTTCCATGTGCGATCGACTGCATATCTCCTCGAGCTCTACTTGTTGTTTGAAGAAAAACTCTTTCATCTTGCTTGCTTTTAACTGATCCAATCTCTTTACTTCTGTCTCGGCCTAACAACATTTTTTTTAATCAAATCGAAATCGAACGATATATATATATATTTTTTTTTATATATATAGTAATTTCGATACCTGCTGCACGATGTCAAGAGTAAGGTTTCCGGGAGTGGATACCACGTGGAGAAAATTTCGACGATCGTCAAAGGGTGTATCCATGAGATTCCACAAATTCGACAATGCTTTACCGAGTTGTTGAAGCTGAGGCAATAATAACAATCAAAACAAAAACAGAGTTTGAAAAGTTTGTTTCTCGAAATCAAATTTCTATATTTATTTACAATGTGCATATATATTTTTACATCTTCGTAATTGCAAAAAAATCCCGGTTCCTATTTTGAATTAACTACCTTGTCGAGCCGCAGTTGCTTTTCCGATTCGAGGGACTTCACCGTACTATGAAGCTTTTCTAAAATACCGTCACTTATATTCTTCGACAATCCCGACAGCTCGTTCAAGCTTGGATGCACTTTTGTGATAATCAACGATGAATCCATTCCTAAAGCTGCTGTCAAAACTTTGATCGTGCTTATGTACTTCTCCACCCTCTGAAGTCTGTCACTCTTCGAATGCAGCAGAAAAAAAATAAAATTAATATCGATAGTTTCTCGGTTTTTTTTACCGGTCTATAACAATACACATGGTTGGTATTCATAGTACAATTAAACCTCTATAAATTAATACAGTCGGGACTAGGGAAATTCTATTAATTTAGCGAATTATTAAATTATCGAGTTAATAATTTAACACGTTTTCACTCAGTCAGAACAGAGAGAAACTATTATTTAATCGAGGTTATTAAATTATCGAGGTTCTACTGCAGTACCTTTTCATTGTGAAGTCTATGAAGCTCGTTCTGGTACTCTTCGAGTTTCTTGAGTGAAAGATCGTTCTCGTTAATGGAGACGGATGGCGACGGATCGTCGTACTCCGTCCGACCAGCTATTTGCGATGAAATTCTGTGGATTTGGGTTTGTACCGCTCGAAACTGCTTTACTCGTTCTTCTTTTCTTAATTGCATCTCTCGTAGTGCTGGCGTTATCGAGTTCAGCTGCTCCTTGAGCGTTCCCGCCATTTTCTCCGGCTGACATAAACGAAAAAATATTTTATTTGGTTCGTTCGATTTTAGTGCAGAAATATAAATTTTGAAAATTGTACGAGTTTTGCAATTTCGACTTGTTTTCTTATGTTGTTTTACTTACTCGTCCAGGGAGCGACCGTTCTCCAAGCGAGAGAAGGAGACGAGTGAATCCAGCCTCGGATTCCGCGAGCTGCTGATGTAAGCGGGCTCGTGAAATATTCGCAGTGTCGACTCTCCTTCTGTAAACTTCAATGCACTCCTGCTCGAGTTCCACCAGAACCTTCTCCCGTTCGAGTTGTTCCTCTCCAACTTCATCCCAGATTATCTGTTACTCGCACACGATCAGAAATTCAAGAATCACGAGGGTAAATTGGTCCGTCGCGTTGTATTAAAATTATACTATTTTTAATAACTTGCCTGTAGTTCTTGTAGCAAATAGCCCCACGACGTGTCCAGCAATGCCGAATTTCCCGTCCCGTTTGATGCTTGAAAGGATCCCATTAGAAATTTGAAAACCCGTCTGTTTGTTTGTGTTTTTGTGGTGTTGAAAGACGAGCTTTAAAACGGAGATATTGGAGGATGGACCATATAATAAGGTGGGAGTGAGTGAATATTTGCTTAAAAGACAAGGCTCCATTTTAGTAGTGGTGGGTGGTACTGAAACTTTGTGTTCAAGTGTTGTTCAACTTTTTTTTTTTTTTTTTTTTTTGTATAAAGGTTCTAACATGTGCTAAGTTCATGTGTTGGTATCGAAAGATAAGATCGATTATTGTCTGATCGAAGTTAAAATTATCGAATTTGGTTGGATTTTTATCACTCTCTAATTCTTTAAACTGATAACTTTGTTCTCAAGCAAGCTGCAGAAACTAAAGGGCAAAATGCTTAGGAGTGAATGTGGTAAGGCAACTGATGAAAAGTAAAGTCTTGAGATTAGATGTGCTGTGGGAATCTTTATTATTAGATTATCATTGATGAATTACTAGATTATTGCATTTTTTTTTTCACTTTAATTTTGAAGTTTCTTCTTATAGAACTCTGAAAAATTGGATCCTATCTTATGTAAAATTCATGTAAGATCAGATTGTTCTGGGACAAAATTATTGCACCATTCTATATTTTTGGGTTGGTTAGTGAGTCAACCATGTTTGATATTTGTTATTCGGGTTAATTACGGCCACCCTTGATATAAAATCAAATTACGAAACAACCCTTCATGTTTGAGTAATTACAATCGCCTCTCACTGTGAATTTTCTTACACGTCCACTTTTGCGGTGTCAAACTTAGTGAAATCTTCTAGATTATGTGGTATATTCTCCAGCTTGTACTTATTTTACCCCTTCGAGCTCCACATTTTGAACAAGATATTCATAAGATGTGTGTCTCTTGGCTTATTAACATCAAATTGTGATGCATCAGAAAATGCATTTGTGCACGAAACGAGTACAAGTTAGAGAACATTTCATGAAATGTAGAAGATTCTGTTGAATTTGACACCATAAGGATGAACGCGTAACTCTGTAAGAAGATCTATAATTGATGGGTGGTTGTCATTAATTACTCAAACATGAGGTTTTCTTTCGTAATTTAACCTTTACTTCTGAGTAGCTGTAATTTACCCTTGTTTTTATTAGTGTTAAAACATTTCAAGTTTCATAAATATTCATGATGATTAAGTGGAAAATGTGATTTGTGGGTAAGTAAAGACCAGATTCTATTCCATGATGATGATCATAATAAGATTAGTGATGCATTTTTTTTTAATTTCCAAAAATGACCTTCCACCCTGTCTACCTTTCTACACTCTTTTAGGTGCTTTTTTTAGAGACTAATTAAGTACATTTTTAATTGGTCTTAATTAATATGTTGGAGTCCCTTTAATGTGAGATAAGATTCTAGAACTGTTGGTAGCGTTTCTTCATCACTATGCTTCATTAGCTGGCGCAGCAGATGAATAATATGGGTAAATTACGGCCACCCCTTAAGTAATAATAAATTATAAAAGAAATTCTCATGTTTTAATAATTATAACCATCTTCTCAACTATTAATCTTCTTACATGGGCATCTTTATGGTGTCAAATTCAATAGAATCTTCTAGTTTCCGTAGAATATTCACTAGTTTGTACTCGTTTTGTGTAAAAATTCAGTTTCTAATACACCACCATCTGATATTTACAAACCAAAAACATCTTACGATCATTTTGTTTTAAAATGCAGAGCTCAAATAGTGGATAATTATAATTACCCAAATACAATGGTTTTTTTCGTGATTTAACCTTATTTCAGAGGTGGCCGTAATTTACCCCAACATATAGTGTCAAAATTTCATAGATGCATCACAAACATTTTAGGGGTATTTAAAAAATTAAAAAATCACAATGTATACAAATCACAGACAAAACAAATATAATTTATATGTATGATGGACACATTTCGTTCTGCATAATAATGCTTGTTTGATTTGATTCTCTCTATATATATACTTAAAATACTATACTACACCATAGTCATCACCAAAGCAGCAAACAGGCCAAAAATCAAAACCCCATAGTACATTTCAATCCTCCCACCATTAGAGCCTTTAAGAATTATGTTGTCGATAACGGGCCCACATAGCACGCCGTAACTCGTTCTTGTCTCGTTGAAACTGTAAATTGCTATAGAAGTTTCTACCGTTGATGGTAATTCAGATTTGAATGTTATGGACTTGACGAAAGCCGATCCAGTTCCGTTGCTTCTCATCGTGAAGTTGTGTACGTTATCCGCTACCTGCACGTACACCGTAAAATCCCCTGCACATGAATTGTTGGCATCTCCCATTGTGAAGTTCAAAGTGTATGTGGATTTGGTTTCAAGGTTTAGGCCTATTTGGATCCCGGATAGATCCGCGGACACTAGTTCGATTGCTGCTTTGCCTTGAGGGACTTTGTAGTGTATGGAGTCTATGTATTTTACGGTTCCAAGAATCGACCATTCTTGGAGCGGAGAGTCAAATCTTTTCTATTCTTCGTCTAATAGAATTCCATCCGACGAATTCTTCAAGAATGCAGGTCCAATTTCAAAATCTCCATTTGCTAGTCTATTTTCTGCATAAGAATACTCAATTACAAATTCAAAACCCAAAAAAAAAAAAAAAAAAAAATCGAATTTCAAAGAAATTTTCGAAATTCTAACTTATAGTAGTTATTAGATCAACCTTAACTCTAATCCTCACACACACACACACACACACACACACACACATATATATATATATATATATATATATATATATATATATATATATATATATATATATATATATATATACATTGTTTCTTCAAGAATTTAATGGGATAACGTACCATATTCCCACATAGGCAACCGGTTCTTTCTGACGGTAAACGCATCGACGATCGGCCAACATGTGACATTATTATTGGCATCTTTAGCTTTTGTAGTGCTCACACTTGTGATATGAAGATTAAGAGACTCAGCCGCCAATCTTCCCAAGAAGAAAGCATAGCTCCCCCACAAATTCATGCTCAAATTCCTCCCCAGAGAGAACACCTTCGATCTATGAGAATAATCGTACTTCCCGTGAACGGATACATTCACGGCCGTACGATTGTTCGCGCAATCCTCGCTTTGAGGGATGAGGTTGAAGCTGAGAACGTATTCCATTAAACCTCTTGCTCTGATTGTCTGACTGATTGTGCCGTTTTCACCCAACTGCACTGCGTGGGCCCCGCCGCTACCTGGAAATGACAAGTTTGCCCCCGAAGTGACGTACGAGACGGTGCCTTTGAACGACCATCCCGGAATGGGATTTTCTTTGGTGAGGTGGGTGGTCGAAGAATTCGTTGTTATGTTGTATGGAGGGATTTCGAAATCGGGGTTCTGCAGAATTTCTATTCCATTTTTTTTTAAATGTTAGAAACTATACATATGTTGATGATGAATGAAAATAATAAAATGTGAATTGAAACATATACATCATACCTTGTGCATTTGATAATGCCATCATGCAATACATGATGAAGAACAACAAGAGTGGTTGTAATACACGCTCCATTGTGTGTGTGTGTGTTTTTTTTAATTTGGGGTAGAGGGGTGGTGTTATGTATATACATAGTTGTAGTTGACTTTGAAACTTGAAGTTGACTCGAAAATTTACGGGAGTTCTGGGGCAATGCCTGCAATTTTATTTTAGAGATGTTCATAAAATAACTAAATATTTGTGGATTTTAATTACAATAACATAAAATAACACATTTAATTTCCAAAATAACACATTTAAATGAGTTGAGTGGGGTAATTAAATTATATAAGCATTAAAATAGTGTTATATTTAAGAAGTTAAGCAGGGTAGAGTGAATCATAGATCTGAAGCATACAACGAATTGGATATAGGGCCAAGTTGCAAATAAAATTGAGCGTATATTTTTGACAATTGAGGAAAAAACCTAATTAATTATTGGTAAAATGCAGAGAAGCTGACCACAAGTCAACTTTACCATGGGATGACAGCAATTTTGATTAAGACCCATCGCTCCATAATAAATAAATAAATAAATAAATGATTATGAAGCCTAGCTTGGGTTTATCTTTGAGTTTTTTTTTTTTTTTTTTTAGAAACAAAATCAATTTTCATTATCTAACACATTTCAAGAGAGATTACAGAATGTATTAGAGGAGGAAGATCGAACAAATGATAGTCGCCTTGCTTTGATAGAGATGCTACTTCGTGAGCCACCCGGTTCCCTTCTCGAAGTATGTGTTGGACTCTAAATTCTTCAAAATCTTCGCTAATACGTTTAATGTCCATTATGATATTTCCATATCCCGCTCGAGAATCAGACGTTCCCTTTATGGCTGAGATAACCACAGAAGAAACGCCCTCTATGATGACCTTCGTCCAATTCCTTTCGCGAGCTAAATGAACCGCCAAAACAGCAGCTTTGGCCTCCGCCGAAGTAGGATCCATCTTTGAGTTTTATTAAGAATTGATAGAATTGGAGTTTGAGTGTTTTAAAAATTTGCAAAAGCGTGTTTTGCACGTGAAGGGAAAACGGAGGGTCAAGGGGTTTTAAGTTAAAGGTTAGAATATCTTGCATTTTTAAAAGTTTTAGCACTTCTTACGAATATTAATATGGCCGCGGTTATATGCAAGCCCATTTTTTTATAAGTTCAAAACCACATAAATGAGTTTATTAGTTCAAGCCCGTAAATTAATCTAATTTTATTACATCAAGATCAAAGATGACAAATATACCATTATCCACAAATAATACTCAAATACAAATAAATCTTATTTTTAATTTGTTCAAGACCAAAAAAAAAAAAAAAAAAAGAAATATCACGACTGCCAAATATTAATCTATGCTAAATATGTATGAATGAACATTAATCTATGCTTATTTCTTGTTGGGTTGCAATGATTTGGCCGATTTTGGAAAAAAAATTGAGATTGAAATTGGTTTTTTTATTTTTTTTCGTTGGTTTCTCAAATCAGTTTATCCAGACCGATTTTGTACACGAAAATCGGCGTCATAATGCCGATTTTTGTTAACCAAATCGGCGACACAACGTCGACTTTACAAGTCAAAATCGGCGTTCTAATGTCGATTATTGAGTACAAAATCGGTTTTCGAATACCGATATTTTTTGATTTTTTTTTTAAATAATACATTATATATTTGGTTAATTGATATTTTTTAAATATTTGAAACGAAAATGTTTATCACCATTCGGTGGCGTCTACCACTCCTTTAACACAATAGAGTAGAGTTTTTCGTATCTCAAATATTTATTCGTTAGATAATTCATTTGAATAATCCTCCATCAATCCCCTAGGTTGATGCACGAGAGTATGAGAAAACGGTCTTAAAAAAACACAGATAATAAAATCGGTATTTAAAAACCGAATTTTGTAGTACAAGTCGGCATGACAATACCGATAATACAAAAACAAATCGGTGTTGTCATGCCGATTTTTACTACAAAAATCGGTTTTTAAGTACCGATTTTTATTAAAATAATCGGAATGTGGTTACCGACTTTAGTAACAAAAATCGATATTTGCAGACCGATTTTTTGTATCGTCGAATTTTTTTCCCAACAAAAAAAAAAAACGACCCAAAAGCAAAAATAAACGGTTAAAACATATTTCATTTTGTTCTCCACCCTCGTAAACCACCATATCATTGTTTTCTGGTTCCATCGTGAATGTTTGGTATGTCTTTAATAATTTTGGTGTGTAGGATTTCTTGGTGGGTTTGTGAAGAAGAAGAGTTTTAAGTCGTGAAATAAGAAATAGGGGTTTCTGGATTTATGTATTTTATTTGGTCTTGCACAAAGGAAATGATTTTTTTTTTTTTAAGGTTTTGTGTTTTTTATTTGATTTTAAATTTCATGAAGGGTAAATTAGTATTTTTATGTTGGTGGTCTTGAACTAATAAAAAAATGGGCTTGCATATAACCGCCGCCTATTAATATACATTAGTAACGTTTTGAAAACTGGATTGAACATTGACCAGGACAGCTTATTGGGCTATGATTGGACTAGTTCAACTGGGGTCAGCTCGTTTTTTATTTTTTAATTTTATAATTATTTATACATAATTTTTATTGTAAATAAGTCATATTTTATTTCACACATATTAATTCATTAGTCATTTTCAATTGAAATGTAACTAATCAAACTTATTTTTCTTTTACACACACAACATATCAAGACGCACATACCACACCGAATCATTTCAAATATTATAGAAATTATAATATAAAATAATATGTCTTCCAATTTTAATTTTGATTTTTTTTCTTACAACTTGGCAGTAAAAAGACACCGTTTTAGCCATTTTATTTGTTTATTTAAAAAAAAAAAACACACAATTTTGGGCAAACAAACCTGATTTTCACTCAAGTTCTGATATTATGGTTCAACCGGTCAAACCAAAACCGGATAAGGCTACAATTTGTGGTTTAACTGGTTCAATCGGCCGGTCCGGTCCGGATTTCAAAACACTGGTAATTAAGATAAGTGGAATTTGTCGTTTTATTTAGGGTACATAACACTTAACCCCCTGTGGTTACAAGCTTTTGCAGATAACCCCCTTATGCTCGTAATATCAGCACATAACCCCCTTGTAGTTTATGGGGTAGCTTTTGTTAGTTTTTCCGTCAAACTTAACTGTGTGTGCAAAAATTAAGGGGGAAATCAAAGCACAAGGGGGTCATCTGCAAAAAAATTACTTTGACGTTTGACACAAACATTTAAGTTTGACGAAAAAACTAACAGAAAATACCCTCATAACCATCATGAGGGGGTTGTGTACTGATATTAAAAGCAAAAAGCTTGTAACCGCAAGGATTAAGTGCTATTTAATTTTATTTATGACAAGTACATTTCTTTCTACATTCATACTTTGCTCAACCCTATACTATGCTACAAGCATAACCATAGCAGTAAACATGCTAAAAATCAAAACCCCACCATACACTTTTATCCTCCCTCCATTAGAGCCTTTAAGAATTACGTTGTCGATAACAGGCCCACATAGCACCCCGTAACTCGTTCTCGTCTTGTTGAAACTGTAAAAGACTATAGAAGTCTCCGTTGTCGACGGAAACTCAGGTTTGAATGTTATAGAGTGCTTGAAAGCCGACCCCGTTCCGTTGCTTCGCACCGTGAAGTTGTGTACGTTATTCCCTACTTGCACGTACACCGTAAGATCTCCCGCACATGAATTGTTTGCACCTCCCATTGTGAAGTTCAAAGTGTACATGAACTTGGTTTGGAGGTTTAATTTAGGTCTATTTGGATACCGGATGGATCACCGGTTAATAGTTCGATTGCTGCTTTACCTCGAGGGATCGGACTTTGTAGTTTTTCGAGTCTATGTATTTTATTTTTCCAAGTATGGACCATTCTCGGAGCGGAGAGTAGAATCTATATGCCACTATATATATATATATATATATATATATATATATATATATATATATATATATGTAATACCTATTTCCATGAATTTAATCTATAATCTAAGATAGAATAAATACATACCTTCGTACCATCTAGGCAACCAATTATTAACGGTAAATGCATCCACTAGAGGCCAACACGTGGCATTATGATTATTATTTTGTGAATAATTTGTTTTCACACTTGTGATTTGAATATTGACAGATTCATCTCCCAATCTCCCCAAGAAGAAAGCATGGCTCTCCCACAAGTTTATGCTCAAGTTCCTCCCCAGAGAGAACACCTTCGATCTATCGGGAAACGACTTCTAGCGAATCGTTACGTTAACAGCCGTTCGATTGTTAGCACAATCCCCGCTTTGAGGGATGAGATTGAAGCTGAGAGCGTAATCCAAGATTTCACCTTTCGCTCTCAATGTTTGGTTGATCGTGCCGTTTTCGCCCAACTGCACCGCGTGGGACCCGCCGTTCCATGGAAATGACAAGTTTGCCCCCGAAGTGACGTACGAGACTGTGCCGTTGAACGACCATCCCGGAATGGAATTCGCTTTTGTGAGGAGAAGGAACTGGCACTACTAGAAAATTGAGTTTTTGTGACACTCTATTGTGACGGTATTTTAAAGCCGTAGTTATAGGATATCTATTAAGACGGCTAATAGATAGGCGCCTGAGTAAATATATTTTTTTATTTTATTTTGCTTTATTTAATTTTCAAGAGCCCTATATTATGACGCTTTTGAGTTAGTCGCCTCGATATATACAGATATGATGAGACGATTTCATATACCGTCATAACATACAGGAATAATCGCGTCATTATAATTGGAGGAAAAAATACCGCGAAAATTTCTATTTTTTTCCCTAAAAAAATTGAAATTGCTGCTAAATTAATGCCCATTCCACTTACAAAGGAAAAAAAAAAGATATCTGCCAAAGCCCTAACTCTTTCATATCCCGTTTTCTTCTCGCTTTTCACCAAATCCCTAACCCTTTCCTCTCCCTTCTTCCTTTTTGTTCAATCGGCGGTGCACTCCAGCCCGGTTTCTTCTTCCTTTCGTGCAAACGGCGGTACAGGTACCTGTGAATTTAATTTAGTTTGAGAATTTCTCCGTCATCTGCTTCGATTTTTAACAATAAAAAATATGTGATGATTTCTCGACAGGTATACTAAAATTACTGAAGAACTCTGGCAGGTAATACAAGTCTTTGTTTCATGACCTGAATATTTTGTTTCAAAATTATTTAATATTTTTTTTTCTCGAACAAAATTGTATGATCTTTCGTCTTATTGATGAATTTGGTGCACCTTAAACGAAATTAGGGTGGATTGGGTGAGATTTGGTTCAACGTGGGATTGGGTGAGATTTAGTATGGTGATGTAAAAAAAATCTGATTACAGTGGATAATTATGTGGAAATTAAAAGTTTGGAATAAATTCATAAAGTAATAGAGTATGAATTCACATGTTAATGCTGGTTAAGATATTTCTTTATATATATTTTTTTATTTTTTGAATTTCTTGGAAAAATTCATTCATTTATTGTTTCAATTTTTTGTTGTTGTCTGATGAAGATTTGGGATTATCATACTGTGATTTTTGAAATTTATTGTTTGAATATTAACTCCATAAATTAAATATTGTGTTTGGAATTCTCATACAGGCTAATTTTTGAATTCCCTATCTTGAAGCTATTTTACTCAAAGACAGAAGGTGTTATACAGGTTTGAATAAAAAATACTAGAAAAATTCTATTCCTTAACTCTGTATTGCAGTTTGTCTCCATATATATATATATATATATATATATATATATATATATATATATATATATATATTTTTATTGTCTATTATAATAGTTGCCTTTCCAGTCGAAACTATTAGCATGGATAGAAAATGGATGGATTCCCCAAGGTCAAGCACAGAGTATCAAACAGGATTGCATAGTTTTCTTAACTTTGCCTTCTCAAATTCAAACGATGGGCTAATCTTGTGCCCCT